ACTACTATATTCCTATGAAAATGTACGTAATTTAAATAAGTTTCAAATTCCTACATGTATATTTACACTCTTGCATGAGTAGTAGTTGCACGAGTAGTTTTGTTCACCTAAAGGTTGTATCACCTAAAACTAATAGAGTCAGGAGGGTTATGTATATAAATGATCAGGATGACGAGAGAAGTTGAAATCCGGTTGACGGTCTGTCTGTCCATCCGTGCAAGCTGTTACTTGAGTAAAAATTGAGATATCTTTCTGGTATGTGGCTAAGCACTAAATTAAGGTATAAAGCTCTAATTTTCTGCACAAGGGCACCTGTGGGCAATTTTTTTTTTTGATAAACCTGGGTGTGGCCCCGCCCTCTAACAAGTAGTCTGAGTACACAAGAACTTCTACCGACAGTGTGAAAACGGATGAAATTTGAGGAAAACTTCAAATATAACGGTACTGTTAACAACTACTAAAAAGCCGATAAATCAATAACTAAAACACCAGAGACATAAATTTTACCATCGTATGACAGAGGTTTCTGGGAGTTGATCTGAAAATTGAACAATGTGTTGGCACCGCCCACTTTTTGGTAAAAAAATTAATACGTGGTATTTTTACATTTTTATGTCACAGACCAGTGGATATCTGTGATCGAACACAGGCCATTCCGCTCGGATTGGATAATCGCTAAGCAATTATATACCGTGGATTCGGTAAAGTGGGCAATGGCCTTGTTTGCGAAATTTAAGTCTCCGGGAGTGGATGGCATCTTTCCAGCGCTTTTACAACAGGGGGAGAAGATTCTGCTGCCATACCTGGTTCGGCTGCTGCGGGAGAACAGCAATGGTGTACATCCCTAAATTATGGAGAATGGCTAATGTGATCTTCATACCCAAAGCAGGAAGTAGGACCATTCACTGGCTAAATCCTTCAGGCCAATTAGTCTAACCTCTTTCCTACTAAAAATTATGGAAAAGATCGTAGACCATGAAATAAGATTGAAAGCGCAGAAGGGTGCACCCCTGCATCCTGCTCAGCATGCATACAGAGCGGGTAGATCTACCAATACTGCTCTGTGATAGAGAGTTCACTGGAGAGAGGGGATGTGATGCTTTGAGCCTTCTTGGACATCTAAGGTGCCTTTAACAACACGTCTCTCTGGAATGTAGCCAGGGCACTGGATAAAAGGAATGTGGCAGCAAAGGTGCGTAGATGGATAATGGCCGTACCGCACACCAGAATTGCTGAGACCACAGTAGGAGATACAAGGACCCCTGCTCACACTTGGGGGTGAGAGATAGAAACCAACAAGGTCAAAAATCTTGGCTCACGCTGGATTCTACTTTGCGGTGGAAGCAGCATATAAACCTGACCTTGGTCAAAGCGACAGAAGCATTAATGGTGTTCAATCGGCTGGCGTGAAAATCTTGGGGTTGTAAGCCAAGGATGGTTAGATGGTTGTACACCATGATTGTGCGACCGATAATCACGTACTGGGCGGTGGCCTGGGCCTCAATATCGTCGCAGATTTCAATAGGGATCCAACAAGCGAAGCTGCAACGGCTAGCCTGCAGACGAAGGCAGCCCTTGCAGCTTCGACGSGCGCAATGCGCACTTGTGCAACGGCAGCACTGGAGGTCCAGCTTGAACTCACACCACTTCATTTAGTGATCGATCAACTAGCCAAGCACACACTTCTGCAAATAACGACAGAGGGGGTGAGAAAAAGGCAAGGTAATCTCGTCCAAGAGGATGGAAAAGATAAATGGCAATATACCATTAGCCCTACTCCCGAAGGGCAGCATTGTAAGTTTAAGGTTACCCTCCGCAACAAGGATGAGTGGAACGACTCCACTCTCGGTGCATGCAGCGCAGGTCCACGCACTGAGCTCTCCATACCTATGGAATGTTTTCCGAGCATTTTCCAGGTAGAAGTCTTTCCCATAAATCGGTTCATAGAGATAAACCTCCATCGTAACTATCGCAATGAGTGGATAACCATACTTAGCGATAGTCCAGCGGCACTAAAAGCGATCTTCTCCTACGAGATCAAATCGCTACTAGTGCAGGAGTGTAGAGAACGGCTGAAGAGCCTAGCGTAACGGAACCAGGTGCACCTAATCTGGGTGCCTGGTTACAGAAGTATAGCCGGTAACGAACTGGCTGATGAGCTCGCCCGCTCCGCAGTCTCCACCAACATGGTAGGACCCGAACCCTTTACTGGGGTTGGCCCCCTTACCTTAAAGGAGCTGCTCAGCTAGGAAGGAGTGGGCAGAGAAAAACATTGGCAACGAGTATATGGTATGCAGCATGCCAAGCTGCTAATTGGAGGGCACTGCCTGAGCAGATTTAAAGCTGTAATTAACCTCCCTAGAGATAAACTCAGACTACTGGTCGCATTTTATACCGGCCATTGCAAGCTGATTAGGCATTTATATAGAATGGGCCTATCCTCTTGCGCTAACTGCCGGTTCTGCGACAGGGAGCTTGAAACACCGGAACACCTGCTAATCGACTGCACAGCAGTCTGTGGACGCAGGTATAAGGCCATTGGATTCATCGCCTCACCAGCACCCGGCAGAATATTGGACTTTATCAATGTGCCGGGGCTAAGTGGGTTCTTGTGATTTAGGATAGGGCACAATAGACTTAAGGTCCCGGTGCATGCCTCATTTATCAATCTTATCTTATGGGAAAATGGGTCAAATCAGACAACAACCACGCCTACTTCCCATATAGCATAATTTTAAATTCCATTTTCAGTACACAAATCAAGAAGGAATTAATATAATGGGATCCGTACCCCGGTACGTATAGTTGTCTTTTGATCGAAAATCAATGATCAATGTGAGATGTAACATAAAAAATAAAACAATGCGTTTTTTATAAGCAGCACTATGTGCTTCTGTTGAGCTTTATTACAAAACTGA